CCAAAGCTAAGGGATTGAGGGCAGGGACCACGTAGACCTGGCCTCTGCCGTGCACCAGGCCTCAGAGCTTAGCACAGGGCAAGGCACGGCGTAGCGGTCCAGCAACTACCAGAATGAGGATGAACTGCCCAGGCTCCAGCTGGCTGTTTCAAATTAGATCATAACATAATTAATTATTAGCCATCAATTAAATGGTTAAGTCATTGTCAAAACTTCGTTTTTCTGATGCACATACAGCCATTAAAGGCAGCATGAGAGAAAGTCAGATATCTAAAAGTTTATTTAAAAGATGAAAATTAAAAAAAAAAAGCTGAAAATGCCTTTTAAATGAAAAGAAGGACCAAAGAAAGTACGTTTAAATCTGTTTGGATCAGTCTGTTGGTTGGTCATGTGAGGGCAGAGTGGATTTCAGGGGATTCTGCAAAGACCTAAAATTGTGCTTCTGTTGGGGAGGAGAGTCCATTATCCTGAAATGTTAAAAACTGTTCTGCATCCTGATAGAGCTGGCATTTTATCAGCCTCCCCAATAAACTACAATGTCTGTTATACTTTTTCTGCATTTATTTAAAATGCAAATAGGTGGCATGTTATTGGCAAAGTATGTTTTCCTGGATACTCTTGATGGTTAGACAGTAACAGAGTATCACCAACACGATGTAACATGTTCTTGTTTGGAGAGTGCACCTTGTTCGTTCATTTCGAGTTTTCAATCCACACTGACCCCCATTTGACTAAAAGGAAAATCATTTAACATTTATGTTTTTCTGTATTCTGAATTTTTCTATACAAAAATGTTTTAATACTTATGGGAAATTAAGGTATTTTATTGAAAACTCTGGATTTGGATTTATTTAACTGTACATTAATTGGTATATAAATCAATCATTACTTCTCTCCATATTTTTTCTTACAGACCTGAAGATGTTAGACAAGTCACTTGAAACTGTGATAAAATGAAAACTCTACTTTGAGTAATAATCTATGTAATATGATTCTGATTTTCCGTATTTAATTTAAAAATTCATTTTAGTAAAATAAGAGATTAAAAGAACAAAGGCAATGAAGGAAGAATATAATTCAAAGGTGACTAAGCGCCTACCAAAGATGGTTGTAAATAACAGAGTATTTCTCAATGCATACCTAATTTTATGAACCGTGGATGAAAAGCATAGCCATATTAGTTCAAATGTCTTTCCAAATTAAAATTCTAGATCTTTTTTTAAAAAGATCATAAGCAGTTTTCCAACAGAAGCTACATTTGAATAACTGCATTCCAACTCATTTCTAGTCACACGATTTTTAGAAAGACTCATTTTAATATGTCCAGTCCAAATAGATTCTCACAGCAATTGTTCTCCAAACTAGATAAGACTCAAAAACTCCACACCAAATCAAACCAAACTATTAAAAAACAAGAAAACAAGTGATTGAGGAATTCAGTCTTTACTTCCTAAAGGAAACCAGTTATCCTTCATGAATCTTACCTTTTAGTGGTGTTTTTTTGTTTGTTTGTTTTTTACCAAAGAGAGCTTTCCTGAGTCCTGAGGTTACCCCTTCACCCACTCCACCCTGTAGAAGTAAT